GGACTCATAGCGGCTGCCATCGGCGCCCTTAGTATGCTGATGTCCAAGCCCACTGCAAAAAGCTATGTAAAGAGGACATGTATGTTTGTCCTCTCAATCGCGACATTTACATTTACATTTACATTGACCTTCTATAATGAGAAACAAATTTTCATTAACAGCAAAAGTTAAGTCTTTGGAATGAATGTGTTTACAATCGTTCCAGCATTCTGCAGGACAATAATATTAGGAGTTTTGCAAAAACTTAAGACAAACATAAAATGATACCAATAAGGTTCTAAATTAATCAAACAAACACTTTGTTCCTGAACAATTATAGTTAATAATAGTTATTGATATTTTAAACACGCAAACAAACAATAACCTAAGGAAAATTAATCTTCATTCACACTTAAGAATGTTGGATGTAACTGAGACAAATTAGATGACATAATAGCAATTGGTATATCACAAACTTCACTCATGGTTGGTGCATTTTTGGCAATCTCCTTGTGATACACCAATCACTAACAACCAGGGTGGTATTAATAGTCCCACTCAGTTTATAGACACTGCGCCAGAAGAAGACCTGCAAGTATGCGGCTGAAAATATTACGAACAATATATAACTAAGAGATTATCACAAGACGAACAATAAACTTAAACCTTTTATGCACAACCCACAACAAACAATACACGTAACTCTCTCTAAGATGGACACCATTGGGACCTCCCCTGACTGTCCACCTTAGACAGGCGTCTGACGAGAGTCATAGGATTTTCGATCGGAAGGTAAGAGGAGAAGCGTGAATCTTTCGACCTTTTTACTGCAAAGTTTGAAAGCGGGGTGATGCGATTTTCGGGGAGAAAATCGCTATCGGCCTGGAGCCCTTTCAAAACAAGGATTCCTCCCTTGTCCTTCTACTATTAGGAACAGTAAACGGCGAACTCAGACGACGATCGAATAGTATCCCATGATGCACCTCGATTCATGTCATATTATCACTGCGTACGTGACACATCATGATCAGTAATCATCAGCACGTGTGAAGTGAGCATCGATCGCAGTGCTCGATGTGGATGGTTTCCAAACATTTTTCGGTTCAGCAGCTTCTGCTTTTGAGATTATCGAGTTGGCTTATATTCACTGTGCTTTAAAGGAGAATTTCAGCATTGCTTTGACTGAGAAGGGTTTTACATGTATTTCACTGATCTGTCGAGAACTACTTGTGCCGCGCTCGGTCGCACTGTAAACACAAATTATAAGACTCGCAATTGATAAGCTTCGCTAGGTTCACTAGGAGAACCCAGGCCAGAGGAGAATCAAAACTATGACTGATCTATAAAGTGGTTCCAACAAAACATCCGCTATGCTGTGAAGCTAATTACCAAAGGAGAATTTATTACAGCATCGCGCTCAAAGGAGCTGAAGTTTACAATGGCAGTTACAAACAAAATTTAACCTATCGATGCGACAAACAATTCTCTGAAGCACAGTCTACCCGGTACTGACTCAAGCAATCTTCAAGGAAATTTCCTGGCCAGAATACTGATCTGTTCTTTTGAATATATAAAGTTTCTGATGTTTCTTTTTTAAATTCTGAGCAGGCTTCAGTTTACGTTGTGCCGGCTTGCATGCTGCGTGGTACCTTTCTTTGGGTTCTTTTCACACTGAAACACACCGTTATACACCGCTCCTTCTTGGAATTAAAATAATTATAGTCAAATTCCTTTTAAAAATAATTACCTCTTTGAAGATACAAAGTGATTGCTTCGGCATAGAGCGCTCTCAAAAGCGCCCAACAGATTGTAGCCTTCATCAGGCTTTACACATATAATTTATTATGACACATGGCGTTGAAATGTGATAAAAGATTCGAAATTTCAGCCATCTTTGGTCGCAAAAAAGTCTTCAAAATGTGGGTACTTCTGGGTACTTCTTAGCCTGTACAATATTCAGGACTTCATTTTGCTGGTGTGAGGTCTACATTTGAAAGATTTCAACATATATTCCAAAAAATCTTGAATATTCCTAACCTGGTTGTGGGTCACTGAACACTTTGTGATGGGAAGACTAATTGAAACCGTGAAAATAAATGTTTCTATGTGGAAACTTCGCTCTTAAGCCATTGCAAATCGGAGAAATCATGTCGAATAACGAAATAATGTAATTTTTTTATTTTTACTGGAAATCGAGTGAGAAAAAAGCCGACGAGAAAACGACCTTATTTCAAGATGGAATCTGCTATGACTGCGATATTGTGTGATGCTTCTGGAAAAATGCATCATGGGATACTATTCGATCCTCCTCTGCGGCGAACTCAAAATCTTTCAAAATTGCTCAAAAACCGCTTTTGAGGTAAAAGGACAACAACATATCGCAGGTAAGGTAATTCAACGTTGATTGAACATTGATTTATCAACATACTTAGCGATATATCGCCATAGGTGAAGCAAACGGTAAATCCAGAACATTTACTATAAAATAACAATCGGCTACACACTTTGATGTGCAAATGTAAGCTTAAATCAGGCTTAATGCAAAATGCAACAGTGCTACGTTATGCCAGGAATTCTATGATTTCTGGCTGGTTCTAAACCTTGGTTGAAATCAAAGCAATCAAAGCGATTTAGCTCGATTTGAGTTTTGAAGCTTATAACCTTAAGTTTAAAATTAAATCAAAACACATAAAATTTCCACCTCATCCATCTCCTTCTTTTCCTTCTTGGCTTGTTTCAATGGCTTCTTCTTGCCTCCTATGGAAAGCACAAATTTACAAACAACAGTGACAAATCGCTTCAGCTTCAGGTTTTCAGTGGAGAAGCGTGTTATGCACTTAATAATAATAATGGAATTTATATAGCGCTTATACATCGCTGTTCTAAGCGCTTTACCTTCTCTGCCCGACATTTTCGATCACAAATTTCAAGCGTGCGAACGTGTACGACTCGACGAACGTGCTTTTTCGCTGCTTTTTCGTAAAGAAGACTTGAGCCCGCGTGAATACGACGAGTCTGTTTGGTAAAAGTACTTCATATAGGAAGTGCCTACCGTCTCCTTTCTAACTCGTTGTTGATTGGATTAACTGCTGAATCATTCGACCAATCATTGCTCGAGTAATAAGTCCAACTTAATTAATTTCTGCGATTTTGGCAAGACAGTATTTCGCGGGGTTTAATTTTCGCGATTTCAATGGGCAACTATGAAAGAGGTCATTAAATTTTGCGATTCAAGCTTTCTTAATACAACTTGATTTTATTTTTCAAACGTCAAGTGAAGTTTTTAAAATATTGAGATAAAATGGAATAAGCAAAAAGGCATATTACGTTTTTTTTTCTTAATTCCACGACAGAAGATAGAGTCAAATAGAATTTGAGTTCCATTATTCAACCAAGACAGCCGGCGAGCAAGCTCCCCATTTGAGTGAGGGGGGAGGGGTCATGAGATCACGCAAGAGTAGCACGCGAAAAGGTAAGCGAGTGCAAGGTTCGCTTCCCTCACCATATAAAATGGAGAGGTTGCTCAGATGGCTTTATTCAACTCAGGCAAGTGGCCATCTGTTTTGTTTTAGCCCGCTGACTTATTTTAGCACGCTCTTGAATCTTGCGCACGCGCTGAAGGCCCCAAAGGGCGATTTATACAAGAATGGAAAACCGAGCTCATTTTCACTGTTGTGCATTCCGCTGCGTCTTGCAAAAACAATTTGAGGTCAATTTGTCGTGTTATGGACATTTTGCTCGGTCAAAATATTTATCAGTTTTCTTGATAACTCTTAGAATTGTTAAACCTGTATTAAGCGATCAGTTGGCCTTCCCCAAGAGCGACCCCTAAATACAAGTTTGACCGTACTAAGTAGTGCGCGCATATGAACCAGCGTCATTTCGGCAGGAAAATGTGACAGCCGTCATCATTTTACTAAGGGGTTTAGCCAGCCGTACTCGCCCTCAATTCCAAAGGCTCCTATTTAAATGCCTGCACACGAGCAGCCTGTTCACAGACCCTCTATTTTCGCGCCGATTATAGAAAAGAAAAATACTGAGCAACGTCTGCGTGTACAGGCCACATACGAGCCGACTGAATTTTTTTTATATAAATATATAAGCAATACTGTAGCAGGAAAGGTCTTCTTTTTTCGTTTTTGTTAACTAAATATATACACAGCCCGTCACTTTTTCAGTTTTGTTTTATGTTAAATTTGAAGATGTTGGAAAAACTACCCCCTAGTAAAGAGACTGTAACCATGAGTTATTCTGTTCAGAATTGGGGAATATTCATATAAAATTTCATTCAAAATACCCCAAAAATTTCAATTTGACTTGCTGAAGTTGAACATGGTCCCTTGGAATTTAAATTCACGCTTCCCATACATTTGACAAAGTAAGTGATTATGAATAACCGCGATAGACTGAAAGCTACAACGCAAATTCACTTTTAAGCCACGTTCTCGTTGCTGTCGCGTCGTTGGATTTAGGAAGGCCACGTTTAAGTGTGTTAATTTCACAAGCCTCTGTGACGGTTTTCTTTATCACAGACTTGTCCTCTGGCTTAACCTGCGTAGTAGGCGCCTGGACGTAACGGCACAGGAAACAACGGGGCGCACGAGAGAGACACGCGATTCCTTCTCCCCTCGCGTGTTTTTCTCGCGCGCCCCGTTCTTTTTTATGCCCATTACTTCCAAGCACCTGCTACGCAGGATAACTTGTCCTTGTGGTGACTGTCATTGAACGGCACAAAAATCGCAGACCAAGCCATGTAAAAACATCATTTATTTTAAAACATCATAAAAATGCATACCACTACTCAAAACTAACAAAACCAAAAACTAGTTTTTAAAAAAGAAGCTAATAACACAATCAATAATATCGAGCATAATGCTAAGCTAAAGCGCATGTCGCATAAGAGCAAGTCCATCCTTCTAGGGGAGTGCAGCACGCGAAAGGAGACGCAACGCCCTAGTCTCGCGCGGTCTCTCGCAGCTGGACATAAATGGAGAGCTTGCTCACAGGCTAACACGCATGCTTTAGTAAAACCATGCAAATATAATCAGGACATTAGCCAACAATATGGCACAAACATTTGCAACCAATGCAAGCGAAGCACTTGTCGGAGCTGAAGGGTCACACAAGTTGTCTTGGCAACAAGCGAGCTCGCAACTTGTTACGAATCCAGTGATATTCACCAAAGTGCACGCTGCAAAGAAGAATCAAAAGTGCATCCGGATGAAAATAAATTGTGCAATGCAGCGCCAACAAACACCTACCAAACAGAGCAAATATCATTGTATGTCCAAAACCTCTGACTTACATGCGAACTCATACACCAGAAAAGAGAACAAGAAAATGATTTTCGCCTTTGTTCGTTCGACCTCCACCGTCCCCCCCCCCCCCTCTCGACCCTCTACTCCTAATAAGCAGCCTCAGTGTTCAGTGTTATGTCAACTAAAAGATGATGTAAATATTATCGGATACATATGCAACGGCGCTGCCAGGGCCAGTGACGTCATCCAACATGGCGGACTAATTTTTTCAGTACATGTGTCTCAATAATAAACGATCAGCCACTGAAATGGATACGGTGCCCGAGAGTAGCATTCATCCTTGCACCCCTCCCCCTTCCCTGTAGGTCCTAGGGATAAGGAACATAACAGAGTGACTATTTTAGTCTGTTTTACATAAAAGATAGGGTTAGCAATAGGTCAGTATCATTCGAAGCTTATCGGAATGTACCTTTATACATTTACGGAGGGAAATGTGAATTTCTGAGTTAACCGTGTAAGAAAAAACACTGGTACTTGCAAAGAGAAATCAATGAGCTGGAATAGAGTATTTTTATAATGTATTGCATGGGATCGACTGACTCTGAAGCGCTTTAAAAGGTAACTCTCATCAAGTTTATACAAAAGGTTTACACTTACTATTAAGGCTGCTTTGTGGGTCACAAGCCAAGCTATTTGAACAGTTTCTCATCTGCATTGACATCGGCCCAAATCCCACATCCACTGTGTACTTAATGGTGAAACAGCGATTGAAATACACTCCACATGTCACCTTGCCCAAACGGTTACTACTGCAGTTGGATCCCGGAGGGCCACACTCGTAGCATTCAAGAGCAAAAGCTAACGATAAAGAGAAAAAGAAGAAATCTTTACCTCAGTTTGCTGCAAAGGATACCACCTTTCCTCACGGCTTTAAGAAGCCTCCCACGCAAACGTTGTTAGGGGTTCGTCACGCGTTCCTGTACCAGAGACGTTTGGCGCCGCTTGGCTTCTACAGTAGACTTTATGCTTAATAGTCTCCTACGCAGACGTTGTTAGGGGTTCGTCAAGAGTTCCTGCCCCACAGACGTGGGGCGCCGCTTGGCTTCTACAGTAGACTTTATGCTCAATAGTCTCCCACGCAGACGTTGTTAGGGCCAATCAAAGGCCGTTTTCCAACTTTGGGTAAACTCGCGTTTGTTATTAAAAATATTACCCGGGACCAGAATGCGGACTAAGAAAGGTTAGGTGCCGTGTTGATGTCCGAAACGTTTGGTATTAGGGCGTTGAAACCGTATCAAACGAAAGCCATGGCCCATTTTTACAGAAGAAGATTGATGTGTTTGTAAATCTTTTAACTGGATGTGCAAGGTCACATATTTAGCAAGCTTTACCGTTTGTGTTCGACTCAATTTTTAAACATTCTGGCCATGTTGTTGTTGTGGTTTCGCCGTTTGTAAATAGTAACAAAGACCAGGTCGATAAGCTGGCAAATCTTGATATTCTTGTCGCTTCGCTAAGTGATATCAGTACAGAAAATGCAAGGGGTGTACGAAGCAAAGAAATGTTTGAAGTTGAACCTGCAAGGGGTGGCAGGCCGATTTTTCAGACGGTATGGGATTTTACAAATTAGTCTAACGAGAAAATCCCTCTCAGACTTTTTGTACTTATAGAATTAACGGTTATTTGTATCCTTTTCCATAGCGCGCAAATATCGGATTGGTACATTTTGTACTCAACGATGGAAAACATGTGCCGGCCTCGTGCCTTGCAGATGAAAAGATCGCTCGTCAATCGCGGTATTGATCAGGCCTTTTACGTCGATGGCACTGAATCAAAAATCGAACCCTGTCCTTAACAGAAATAGATGGATATTTTGGTTTGGTTATTTTAGTTATCGCGAAATTTGCTCCAGAGGTAAACCACACGTGTCGATTTCCCTTCCTTCACAGCATGTGATTGGCTTCACGCGTCACAATTAGTCAATGCTGATTGGTTTCTTTAAAACAAAAGAAAACAGCCAAAGAACGGAAGTGGCTCTTCGTTTCAGCAGACGTTGGTGGGGCAGGAACGAGTGACGAACGCCCAAGAACGTCTACTTGGGAGGCAAGAGAGGATAAAGGGGAGAGAGAAGGCATCCCCCATACACACCCTATTCCCAAGGTAATTCGTCTCGAGTTATTTTTAGAATTGGGACATAGTTACCTCGCGCGCTGCGTGGATGTTTCGTGGAGGTTGCGCATAACTAAACGCTGTGCAAAACATGTCGGGCGAAAGGCAATGAAAGCGCAAAGAGATCGAGAGCATTTCTGAATATTGAAGCGAAGTGAGTCTGCGCTCACCTGGGAAAAGGGAATCGCTGGACTCTTTGGCAACCGTGAAATCAGTTTAACTCGAAGTTGTCTTAACCTCAGTGCTTTAATAAAATGAGAAATTTCGCCGGTCTATTGAAACCGGTCGTTTGTATAATAAAGCAAGTAGGACGCCAAGTGTTATTTTTGTTGAATAATAAAAGACTAATAAAATAATAAATATCAAACCAGAAATTGCTCTCTTCAAACTGTAAATTATAAATGATCTTGAGAGAATATTCAGTGTGTTAAGGATTTCCCTGCTGCACTGTTAGCCCTGTGCAAGAGAGGAAGGGCGATTCTCTTTTAATTTCCGTTTCGCTGACACAGCCTTAGCAGAAATCTCTCTTTAGTCGTTTTAGTCGACAAAACAAATAGTAATATCACTCTCTGCGTCTTCCGCCATTTTTTCTACGTCAATTCGTGAAGGACGCGTGGCTCTGAGGGTGGGTCGTCCACGCGGAACACATTCGCGCTATGTGATTGGCTGTTGTCTAATCCCCCTTGGGATCTATGGTCTTAAAAATAACTCGAGATGAATTACCTATGGAATAGGGTGTGTATGGGGGATGCCTTCTCTGTCCCCTTTATCCTCGCGTGGTGGGAGGCTATATGCTTAACTCTCTAAGCCCAACATCCACATACAAGTTCTTCAAACTGATCTCCATAAATTTCCTTAAAGAAGAAGTTGAGAGAACTTGGTAAATGATCTAGGCATTTTCTTTTTGGTGATCATTTTATTACTTCTCATAACCTAATCTCTTGACAATGTTAGGGTATCGTTAGGAGAACATTTATTTTGGCCAGTCTCGAGACTTACAGGGTCAACTTAAAGGAGCTGTATCACGAAATTTATCAAAATTCAACAGTGAGAGCTGCCACCAAATTGCTATTTTCATTGATATGTTTGCGCCGAAATAGGCACGCGGGCCAGATGACTTAGCACGTTTTCCCTCCAGGGACCATTGCATTACCCCTGGGTATTGAGTGTGGTATTCAGATGCTTTGCCAACATCAGGATCACTGATCAGATCGCTTTTCTATGCGTTCATGCCCCGAGAGTCCATATATACTGGCGTTTTTTGCCCTCCCTCCTCCCCTCAGCGACGAAAACCCCCACGGTTATGCTGCACATCTTCGCATACGCCGAAATTATTTTCGCCCATATCTTAGTATTCCCCGCGTGTGCCATAGAGGTGCAGAATATCGATGAAAATTCTCCTACTGGTTTGCACATGACGTCACGGCGGCCATGTTGGTGCCAACATGGCCGCCCTGTCACTTGGCTACAATCCAAGAATTGAGAAAAATATAAAAATAGCACCTCCAAACATTAAAAGGGTGTATAAATAACACATGAAATACAAAAGGAGGCGCGGAAAAACAAACAAACGTCGTGGAAGAAGATTAAAGAAGACTCATTGCAATTGCGGTCTTTGGAAACTTGTACCCAGCTTAACAGTTTTTCAAAGCCGTTCATTTTCGTCAGTGTTTGTAACCTTCAGCATGGGATTTTTTGGGGGTTGAATTTTGGTCCACGGATTTTTTTGTGTTTCTCTTCTTGCCCCCATTCGATCATCTCTGTCACTTGAAATTTGGAGTCCCCTTCCTAACCCATCCCTTCTCGCTCCTCGCCGTTTAGTACGTTTTAGTTTTGCAAGACGAAAGAAATATTCGTAGCGGCGAGGAGCGAGGAGAGATAGACTACGAGCAGTCTCTCTTTTTTCTTAGTCCGTCTAGCGAGACACAAAAATGAACACGCACGTGGAGGATGGTGCAAAACGAAAGAGGCACTCCCATCACTCATAATTAAATCTCTGAAGAAAAAGAGAGGCTGTTCTTAGTCTAGGGGAGAATTGGTTGTATTCACAGGCAAGAATTTTTCGAGTCATGGATCTGCAATCCACTTATGGTTAAGCATTGATAGGTGAAAAGCAGCTCAAAAAGTGGTCGTTACTGCCACTTGATTAATGGAAATATTTTTTACGTTCCGTTTGTCCTAAAGCTGAACCTCGCATACGTATACTGATGATTACTCTTTGATCACTTGTACTCTATTGAAGTACCTATTTAGACGGAAAGAGATCTACTTTTTATTTAGATATATATAATCAAATAGAGGGAGAGCGACCATCGGCGACAAAATTGTAGAGACATTGTACTCAAATAGGGTAACTGCAAAGAACAAAATAATCCACACCCCTTCCCTGTCCCCTCCATTCAAAGTTGTGGTGTTTGTTGTTTTCTATATAGGTAGCTCGAACATCAGCACAACATTGCATGGAGGGGATGGGGGAGGAAAGCTATATTTCCTCCTTTTGAAGTTAGTAAAAGGTAACTTGAAAAAGCCCAGTTTTAGGCGAAGTGTCGCAACTCATTTTGTCGTCCATTGTAGCTTTTCTATATACTGAGATAAACTTGGTTCTCAACTCCGCTTCACTATTCTGGTATTCCATGAACCTGGGGTAGCTAATCGAACGAAACCGGACCGAAAATCAATCGAACCCAATTGGTTGGATTGTTGTTTGATTGGTTTGGTAACTGGAACGTTTTGGTGCAAGTTCGATTAATCGAACTCGTGAGTTTTATTGCCGAACTCAACGGACGCGATTAGTTCTATTTTGGTAGGCAGAAAGACAAAACGCATCCAGTTTCAATTGAATCGGAAAATTCTCTCTCAAGTATATAGTGTGTATGTGAAGCAGTTTTAAAACAAAAATATTTTGATTAACCTGGAATTAACTAAAATCTATGGGCCGGTTATTTAAACCAAGTTTGAACAGCGTTTAAGAAAGTCACCTTCTACCGCATGTTTTAACCAAGAATGCCGATAATTTTAACGCTGTTGTTCCGTAACCTTGTTTAGATCGTGTCTAGGCACCGACTAAAGGAACAATAGAAAGTTAAACCTGCTCAAAAGTAGGTTTAAACCTTGTTTAACGGTTTTTTCATGACCATCATATCCACTGATTTTGAAATGACCTGAAAAAGACGGACTACTGCGCAACAGAGAGTTAAGAGAAAAATAAACTACCCCAATCCACGTAATATACACGTGCAACAAATTCCATACCTTGGGACAGATTTGAGTTTAGTCGCTTTATGAAAAAGACTCGCTCACTGACCTCCTAAAAGTTTTGGATAAGGATCTTCCAACATCATACAAGGAGAGGTCTGCCGCTTACACCGTTGCTGTAAGTTTTTAATGCTGTAAGATTTGATACAACAAGGTAAACTTTCGAGCAGGTCATTGGCGATTGATTTGGTGTTTCTGTATTTGCTGCATCACACTGAGCCATTCACAAGGTTTCAAGTTTTTATGGGTGGTGGAGCTGCTGGAGGCCTCTGACGTCACCAACAATAGTTGCCATCTTGGATTTTACCAAGAATTCAAAATCAGGTTAAAGCCGCGAGAAATGGTAATTTTTTGTGCTTTACATGAAAAATAACACATAAGTAAGCACTTTGCATGATTTTAGCCACAAGATTTACTGCTCGAATTGCTCTTGACCTTAGTAAATTCTGTCACTAAACTTATTTCAAAATCTGCGCGAGGGACGAACGAAGAGCTACTGAAAACGCGAGGTCTGACGTTTTATCCTCTAGGAAAAAACTCAGAAAAAACTTATGAGGGTGGCATCCACCTTCCTCTCCTCTCCACCCCTCCCCCTTGTACGTCCGACGGTTAATATATCGAACGTGGGCAGGAGCCCATGGGCTCCTGACGTGGGCTATTCAACATCCATACTTTAAATACTATTCACTGATATTCACATGCGACATTCGTTTGTGTATTCTATCTGTGTGGCATCGCAATCCAACATTCTTGTTTCATTGTCATTCACAATTCAACACCCATATTTCAAAATCCAATATTCAACCTTTTTAATTCAACATTGCGCATTGACAATTCAACATCTATATTTGTTTCAAATACTATTCACATGCGACGTTCGTTTGTGTGTTCTACCTCAACCTTTGTAGCATCGAATGCTTGATGAGTGTTTTGTGCTGCAGAGTGCGATATGCTTGCAGCGCAATGCAACATTCTTGTTTGGACATTGAACTTTCCCTTTCCGCTCAGTTGCGCGCATTTTGCGGCTTATGGCTGGTGTACGACGACCTGACTGACGTCATCACACTATATTAACCAGCCATGAGCCAATTTTGCTCGAAGAACCAAGAAAAAAAGAGAGAATGCTTGTTCTCTAGCGCTCACTCACGTAACAAGAATCGAACCACAAGGCCTCTTCCGAGAAGAGGTCCTGGCACGTTTACTTTGCGTGTCGTTCTATTTTGTCACTAAAGTTCTTTGTATATTCTAAGTACCATATTGCACACAGCGAACATATAGATCAGAGAATCAGAGAATGCGTGAAGTGGTCGCTTACGTGAGGTTAAAAGCGTTGTCAGCCGCTCACATAGTTCTGACAGTTCCCCACCATACCCCAGTCATTTGTAATGTTTTTCACGATGCTGGGTTCCCACGCCGATTTATATTTCCAGAATCGAAGGTCAAACTACTTTGCAAGAGCAACGCAACCTGTCGAGATTTACTTTAAAATTTAAGCTATTGTTCGTCAAATTAAGGACTAAATAGAATATCTCTGCTCCAAAAACTCTTGCGACTAAGAAAGGAAAGCAATATGCAATTTTACACTGAAGTGATCGGATACTACCTAATATAGTGAACTCGTGTTTGAAATTGAAGCCAATGCATAACTTATTTGAAGGCAACGCCTTGTTTGAAACCAGATGAATCGAATAGAATCGAAAGTGGTTTTATGTTGGATTGTTGCAGGGTTCGATTGCGCTTGATTGGTAATATTTTGGGGAGAGTTCGATTAAGTTCCGTTAACGAACCCAATCAAAGTCAATCGAACGACTGGAAATTGATTGGGTTCGACTACCGAACATTCGATTGGCTACGCCGAGCATGAACGACATGAATATCTAGTCTTCAGTGAGAGAGAAAATCACGAGTTCAATGTTACTTACCAAGAGGAGATATCAGGGCAAGGACTGCCAAGCTTGTAAATACAAAATGTGATGCTGCCATTATATTTCAAGTCAAATAAACACACAACCGCAGACTGAAAGCCACTGACGGAGGAGGAAGGCAAAACAGCTTGAGTAGCCCTGTGCACGTCAGTTGTGATCAACCACCGTGTAAGCGGAAAGCATTCGCCGCAGGGTTATGTATGGCATTACAGACGAGTGAATTGCCTTTTAAGACAAAAAGGAACTATTTTTGCGGCATGAGAGCATAATAATGAGTTGATTTTTAATAAGAGATATATTCTTAACCGAGAGTGGGTGCAGTCTCAGACAGAGACTTTGATAGACTGATTGCAAATAAAAAAAGAACAGGAGCGTTGCATAGCCCGCGTGGCAGGCGTTTGAAAGGAAAGGGAAAGGGAGTTTTGGGCGCGAGTCCTTGCGTTTCTCTCGCCCTTTCCCTACCCTTTCAAACGCCTGCCACACAGGCTAAGGGAGAGGGGGTTTGGGGCACGAGAGATACGCGAGGGGCGCGCGAGGAAGGAGGAAGGGGGACGCCTGTCTGGAGACTGTCAATAGGCTCTTAGCATGACTTGATCACGTGATCAACTTTCTGTAAAAATGAAAACAGTTCAATTTTGTTAGCACAAGCTGAAAGAGCACATTAAAATTCAGCCGTATATCCCAAAAGTAGCGATTGCAACGGCTGCCGAAAGTTAGAAGCCTTTGTATGAGAAAAACAACTTTCGTCATCCAGTCACTCTTGCATGGTTTTCCATACAAATCCTTGTAAATTCGAAATTTTCAAAACGATTATGAAATATTTCCTTAAGCATTACGGGGCTCAAGTCTCCTTTTAATTCATAACAGGAAGTTTGAGCCGTTGAATGCGTAAGGGAAAGAGTTAATAAACTGCAAAACAGTCGGTTTTTTTCTCAAAATCAGTAAAGAAATCGGTAAAGCGTGGCGTAAGAGTCTTACGCGCGAGCCTCACACACCCGTTTGTTTGACTGCTCGCGCGTACTTGAATAGGCAAAAATACGGACTGTTTTGCAGTCTAAAGAGTTAACGATGGTTTAAAAATTTTAGAATGTTACAAGGATTTGTCTGGAAAACCATGCAAGCGTGACTGGATGGCAAAAGTTGTTTTCCTCATACAAATGCTTCTAACTTTAGGCGGCCGTTGCAATCGCTACTTTTGAGATATACGGCTGAAAATTCTCAGGTTACCTAATTTTAATATGTTCTTTCGGCTTCTGCTAACAAAAGAGAACGGTTTTCGTGTTTACCGAAAGTTGATCAGGTGATCAAGTCATGCAAAGAGCCTATTGTTCTCGCGTTATAAATATGACCAGGTGATCGGTCAGTCTTGACAATCATGCCAGCACGCTACTGTGTAACTTCAGGTTAAAAATAAGCGACACTTGTAGTTTGTTTACCATTTACAAAAAGATTCCGGAAAATCCGGTTGTAATGCAAATGGAACATGACTTTTTTGGTCGTTCCAGCGGAAAATTTCCGGGAACAACGGAACATCTGAAAACTGAAAAGATAGTCCCGTTTTACCGGACGGAATATTCCAAACAGAAATTAGTGTTCCATTTCTTCAAACCCATCTTCGATACTAGTTTCGGGCCTTCGTGGTCGTTTTTCGGTAAATGGAACTGATTTGTACAAATGCATGGTAAACTCGATTCCGTGAAGAAATTTCCAAGTCCTGAATTTTGCTTACCATTTGCCTAAACTGTGGAGCGACCGGTTTGCCCATGTAAATGGTAAAAAACCTTAGTCGTATTGGAAGTTATATGACCTTCAGAGCATCGCTCTAACTAGGATTTGAGGGGAGGCTCCTTAAAGATTTCTCTCAGGCGTTACTGGTTTTGTATAAGGTGCCACTTAGCCGTTGGTATTCTCTTCAGGCTATTTAAAGCCGGGTGCTTTGTGTAACAGAAGGCAGTAGTTTTTTACGTGCCGATTTGTTTTTCTGTTGAAGGGCTGTTTTCCTTCGGCGAATTTTACCTCGGAGAGGTACTTTCTTAAAATAGCGGCAGGGTAGCCTCTTTCCGGCGATTTTGAAAATTTCTGATATTCCCCTCAAATGTGGTTTGGAAGCAATTAGTCCTTAGAAGCATGAGCGCTTCTTCTATAATGAAGCCTTTCTTAACGCCTGGTGGGTGACACGAGTAGAAGGACGTGAACTGGGAAGTTTCTGTTGGTTTGTAATGTGTTTGCACGTCTAGGATTGATTCCTTGTTGAATCTACCCCCTTGTACACTTTTGTGTCCAAGAAAGTGATCTCTGTTTCTGACATCTCAGCCGTGAATAGTTATAGTGGAGTGAAAATTATTTGCCTTTTCCACAAAGCTCTCTATTTTGTCGAGACTTGTGTTCCGTAGGGAAAACAAATCTCAATAATTATAGCGGAGCACCATGGGTAAGAAAATTTGGTTATCTATGCATCCAAGAAATTTTGGTTCTGACAAAATCGTCCAAACGAAGTACGTAAGTACGTCCACCCCTTCAAATTTTGCATTTCAAGTACCCTCGCGTTTTGGCCGTAAATCGCATAGCCACCCGGGCTTTTAAAGAAAAAGCAACAACAGCAAAGCTGATTCTTTCTTCCGACTGAAATTTTCATGTCTACATTGACGTGGATAATAGAGAAAGAACTAGAGCAAGAGATAAAAAACAAAGGATACTAATTTCGTCGTAAAAATAACATCAAAATTTTATAGCGGTGGTAAGACAATGAGAAATGCTAGCGGCCCCCAAGGTGAAAACGAATGGCAGCGAACAAAAAAGTAAACAGGAACACATACAACATTTCCTCCATAAAACGTGTAACTAAGAAGTCTTTGGAAGCCACGTTGTAGTCGTGCAAAACAACGGCAAAGAAATGTACAAAAAAAGTGTGCTGCACATGCAAAGTTTTTTTTTCCGGCTAATTAGACCCAATGATGCATGCTTCTGTGGCTATGACGAATTCGATTGCAGTAATTGTATCGTAGAGGTCATAAAAACAACGGAAGATAAAATTTGTGACGTCAATACAAAAGCAAAGTTACGCACAAGTTATTAATTTAAATTGAAGTACTAAATTCGTTTTCTGTTTCTTCTTCTCCAAAGCAACTAAAAGGCAGCTGTCCTTGGCTGTTACTGCTGGTCTGATGTGGTTGGGCGCATGCGTAAAGTATTGGCCATGCCGCGGAGTTGGTACGTGTGCTTTAGGGCTTAAATTGGTATAAGAAACCTTTAAATATGGAGGCATTCCAGAAGCATTCCTAATATCTTCAACAAGACTGTCTTGAGTTGACCAAAAGCTCTCTGTTCAAATTCCGTTGGTAGGTAGGCTTCTCGATAAGGCCCGTTTCGTGTTTAAGAAATGACAGAATTCATTCTTGTGATCATTGAGTTTCATTATTCAACGAAGACACCCGCGAGCAAGCTCTCCATTTGAGTTTAGGGGGGGGGGAGGGGAGAGGGGTCGTGAGATCACATAAGAGTAGCACGCGAAAAGAGACGCGAGTGCAAGGTTCGCTTCGCTCGCCATATAAAATGGAGAGGTTGCTCAGATGGCTTTGTTCAACTCAGGCAAGTGGCCATCTGTATTCTTTTAGTCCGCTGACCTATTTTAGTATATTGAAGATGAAACAACAACAACATGATATTAATTTGAGGAGGACTCGGAAAAAAAATCTGAGTCCCAGATGGGATTTGAACCCACGACCCTCCGTGATCTAGTCACCATAGAGTCTCCAGTAGCTCAAGTGGTTAGAGCATCCGACTAGATCACGGAGGGTCGTGGGTTCAAATCCCATCTGGGACTCGGACCTATTTTAGCACGCTCTTATATCTTGCGCACGCGCTGAAGGCACCAAAGAGGGATTTGTGCAAGAAGGGAAAACCGAGCCCATTTTCACTCTTGTGCATTCCTTTGTGTGTTGGAAAGCCCCAGCAAAAACAATTTGAGGTCAATTTGTCGTGTGATGGATTTGCTTAGTCATCATCTTTATCAGTTTTCTTGATAACTCTTATAATTGTCAAACCTGTATCAAGGGATCAGTTGGCCTTCCCCAAGAGCGACCGCTAAACGCTGGTTTGACCGTACTAATTAATTATTGCGCGCATATGAACCAGCTTTATTTCGGCAAGAAAATGCGATAGCCGTCATCATTTTACCACGGGTTTTAGCCGGCCTTCCTCGTCCTCAATTCCAAAGGCCTCAGTCCATTTAAATGCCTGCACACGAGCAGCCTGTTCACAGCCCCTCTATTTTCTCGCCGATTATCGAAAAGAAAAATAAAACAACGTCTGTGTACAGGCTACACACGAGCCGACTTAAGTTTTTTTTATAAGCAATACTGTAGTTGGTTTCATTAGAGAGCTGTAGCAAAGTCAAAAAGTTAAAGCAATGGGTTTTAACAAGCAAAACATTACTCTACACGGACTGCTCGTGCACGATGACGCTCGCTTTTGGGTCGGATTTCTTTGCCGTTGCTGCATGAAATTTCCTGATGGGAAGGTGTTTTTTGACAAGAGACAAGAAAATATACGGGAATTTACATCAGTTGGTGCTTGGAACATTTCTTTTTCCGCACAGTTTGCATACGGGCTTACAGGTGGCCAAAGTGGCCGCACCATGGAACCACTGGCCGGACCAGGGGCCTTCAAATAGAGCGGTCATTTTCTATGATGCAGGATTTTTGGCAAAGCTCAGAAGCTGTCGGTTTGTCACAAGTTAGTAAAATGTTACAGCAACTTACAGGACAAATTTTAGCTCACTACCCCTCTTCTAAGATAAGAAATACTCATTTACGTCTTTTTCGTCTGGACCAATGACTACACAAATTAACTTTCCCAAGAAAAAACACAAGTCTTTGTTATGGCACTGATTAAAAGATACACCAGGGATGAGCCAAATTGTCCCAGGCAAAATAATCCAATTTTATAGAAGAAAGGTGTCTGGTGTAGACAAGGTTGTGAATTTCAAAGACTTTTCAAGACGTAATAAAGAAATCAAGTACTTTTCAAGGACCTAAACCGAATTCAAGGATAATAAAATCAAGACCTTTTCAAGATTGCACGAACCATGGTTTTTACCTTTAACCCCCAGAGGTTGGGCGACTCATTGGTTGGGGTATATATTCCCAATTTTTCCC